TAGTTTATCTGAAAGTGAAGTATAAAGTGAATAGACCCGCTACGCACTCTCTTCTCCCGTCTCACCTCCTCCTAGAAACCCATTACACGACAGTTGATCCAACTTCAGATGTGACCCTCTCTCCTCGATCTCGTGCCTTGAATTCATATGCATATCAGTGAGTGTCTGTAAGTTAGGTCTCGCCACCTCATCACCAGCTTGTCGTAGCTGTCCTTGTCCAGAATATAGCTCCCATTCGCCCCCGCTACTCAGGTATTCTACTAACATAATGCGTGGTGTAAAGTTGTGAAAGGTTTCAACGAGAATCAGCAAGTTAAGAGCTGTATATTAAATCAAAATAGTTAATAATAATTATTATAAGTATTAAATTAACATCATAACTAGCCTGAAAACCCGACTTCCACGACCGCGCTAACGCGCAGGGCTTAGTAGACCGTGTGATCGCATGTTTACTATCAGTGACAGTAGTTTTAAGTCGTGTATCCAGGCTGTTATAGTCGGAAGATCTTTTGGTTCGTTCAACTCAGTGTTGTTTTCTCAATGGCTGTGAGATGTCAATACAAATACATTGTGCAAGTCCTGCTTACACGTACACACATTAACCCATTGGTGTGGCAAGCTCCCACAGTGAAATACACACACTCGAAGCTCCCGTCCCACACAGAAACTGGTTTTATTGCCGTATGCTATGTAGCTCCTTGATGATACGGACCCAAGAGCATAGCAATAATAACCCGATGAGATCTGTGAAGGGCATCAGGCCCGTAGCCAGGGGCGGTCGGGGGTCGGAACGCAAACCGCCCCCCCCCCCCGAGGCCGCCCCTCCCCAGCCCGAAATTTTTTTTTTTTATTCTGGCAAGAATTCATCAACACCATCAGCTCGCTCCATTTAGTGTCAATAATTGCAAATCTCCATCGTGCGGGAGGGTGCAACAGTGAACAACCCCCTCCCCAACCCTCCCCCCGCGTCGGCCGCTTGGCTCCCATCGCCTGGTTCGCTTCGGGCCGCCTCCGAGCAGGGCGTGTACAGGGGGGTCCAGGGAGTCCGCGGACGCCCCGCGCCCGCCCGACCTTGCTCGCGCGAAGAAAACGCATCTGAACGGGGGTGTATTTTTAAAAAAAGATGTCTGGGGGAGGGCCCAGAACCCCCTTCGCGCGTGCTGCGCAGAACTATTGGGTTACGGTTAGACACA